GTGACCCTCCTCTAGACTCTCTCCAACAGGTCCATGTCCTTCTTATGTTGGGGGCCCCAGAGCTGGACACAGTATTCCAGGTGGGGTCTCACCAGCACAGAGGTGGGGAATCACCGCCCTTGACCTGCTGGTCATGCTTCTTTTGATGTGGCCCAAGATATAGCTGGCTTTCTGAGCTGTGAGCACACCTTGCCAGTTCATGTCCAGCCTTTCATACCCCCAAAAGTCCTTCTCAGCAGGGCTGCTCTCAATCTGTTCATCTTGCAGCCTGTATCAATACCGAGAGGGTTGCCCCGACCCAGGTGCAGGACCCTGCACTTGGCCTTGCTGAACCTCATGAGGTTCACATAGGCACACTTCTTGAGCTTGTCCAGGTGCTTGGCATCAGAACTGGCAGTCTGAGTTTATCTTTATTTTACCAGACTTGCTTCAGAATGATTAAACACAGTCAAGGGAAAGGGAAGAACAAATGCATACATGTTGCTAAAGGTTTATGAAGACATTTGTCACAGCTCACAAAATTGTTTTTTATAAAAAAAACTATCTAAAGCAATTTTTCTATGAAAGAATTTATCCAAACCAATAATGAACTTAGGGAAAGAACATACCTGGAACAATAAACATCCATGTGCACATATTAAAAGCATGCATTTCATATGGGAATTATATTTTTGTTGTATTCTTTCACGGCATTAAATACTTGAAAAAAATTTTCTACACTTAACTGTAGTATCTAAATTCAACCCTCCACAATTTAATGGGATATTAAACAGAGATCACATTAACCTTCAGATCTTTTCTCAAATGTAGATATAAGCCATAGAATATGCACAAAACTGATAGCTTAATAGTCTAATACTACCTATTACTGTACTTGAGGCATTGTTTGCAGATATTAGTCGTGGCACTTTCAGTAGGCATCAATATTTAGTAAGAAAGCTACTTAAAATTACATGAAAAAGGTTTCCAGCTGGTTTGCTTTGTTTTAATAAATGTTATATGAATTAGTTACATGTAAAAGCCACAGAAACCAGTCCCATTCTTATAAGAAAACTGCATGCAGCAAAATAAGTTTCTTCCAAGAGTTTCTTCACACTAGTTCAGCCAATTACTGTACTGAAGTTTGCATATTAAATTATTTGTCTTGAGGAGTAGCAGTATATTGATCCCACTGCTTTACACACTGTACAAATACAGCACACTCTCCATATCGACCTCAAAGCAGACACAGGAAGAGATACAAGAGAAAAATCAGTGAAGAAGATTAGGTAAAAAGGTAAGGATTAAACAGCATTAGGAACAGAAGACTATAGAATAATGGCAAGTAGATTTTACTAACAGACAAGTCAAAAGAAAGCAGTCCTCCAAACTGACATTAGTTGTGTATACCACAGAAATAAATCACATATTCAAACTGTAATTCAAATAGTGCATTACTCATCTCAAAGATTTTCCTGTAAAACAACACTCTAGTCAAAAATTAATTTATACACTATTTCAGTTCATTTACTCTACAGAAATTAACTTGATCTTGTAAGCATCCATTCAAATTTAAAACATCCATATTATTGCAGAATCTGATATCTACTCCTTCTGAATATACAATATCATAAAATGTTGAATAATTCTTTTTTTAGTCTTAGTAATGTTGACATCTACCCGTTACTACTGAGCGTAACGCTTTCTCTTTCACACCTTTCAATCTTGTACAGAAATGCTGCAGACTACCAGCAAAAACAGTTGATAATTTTAACTCCCCTTTTACCCTATAAATGCAACCAATATTTCAGTCAATTAAACCTAATCTTCTTAGCCTATGAAATGATTGACAGTTATGTAACTAACGATATCTAATTTTAGTTTCTATGCTTCTATTTTTGGTAAAGATCTGGGAGAATGGCATACAGCTGAGAAACATTTTGTATCTGTTCTTTTTAGAAGGAAAGCCCTGAAAATAAAATTCAACAAATACTCTATTCTCCAGTAAGCAGAGAACTAAGCACACTGAAAACAGCCCTATTAAAAATGCAAATTTTGAATACAGCAGCAAAGATCTAATTAAAGAAGTCTCCAATTTTTTTTAGATGTATCACAACAGAAGCTAAATGAAACTTAATATTTCACTGCTAGGCAGAACTGAGAATACTAAGTCTCAGAACTATTTTGTTTTAAAAGTAGAGGAGATGCTGAGTGAACTGCTTGAAAGAATGGAAAGCCACTTTGTTACAAATACAGCTAAAGCGAACAAACAGACTTTTCTATCAAAGCAATCAAACAAGAAAATGTTTCAATTATGTGTATTTTTCAGACACATATTACAGCAATATCTCAGGACAATATATTATTTACCCTTTCCAAACAGCCTCTTCACTCATGCTATTTAACCTAGTAGCCTCTAAGAGCAACAAACACATTTTACTACCGTGTGTAAGATGACCATTCACAGCGGCACGAACCTTATTTCAGACTGAAACTTATGGGAAAATGAAAGATCTTTGCTTTAAAATTCAACTATGTCAAGATGCTTTACTGGTCTTCATTTACTTAATTTTGTCTGGAATACTACATAACTTTTCAATGTGAAAACAAAAAAGTGACACAAAAATCCATTCCATTGGGTTTTCTGTGATTTAGTGTTTACTGATCTAAACCAATCTACAGCTTAATTATTTGTTATGCATCATAAACAAACAAAAAATCATTTCAAAAACATGGAGAACCCCAGTTATGTTAACTGGGTTTCCTTAGTTCTTATCCATGATTATTTTATTAGCTTTCAGGTTAAAAGACCTCCAGTAATAAAGCTACAGAACACTAACAGTCTTATTGTAGCAGCTGTCAAAAATAAAGAACAAGGAGTTGAAGCACAAATAGTTTCCGGACTAGAAGTACATTTGGTTATTGTGGATTGTCTTAAAGACAACTGGTAAGAGCTACAGTGAATGTCCAGAGCAAGAGACCGTCTACAGTCTAGTACTATCAAACCCTAGCAGAACAGCAAGACTCTTCAAAGAACAATGTCGAATTCATTAAACATAATCAATGACGAGGCTCTTAGTCTCCAAATGAGGAGAGGGGGGAGAAAAAAAAAAAAAGGCGGGGAAGCTTCAAAGTAACCAACTATTTAAGAAGTAACCAGAGCAATACCTGAAGTTTGATCTTTATAGGTAAAATTACTTAATCTTTGGCATGTGTGCTACTTCTTCATTCATTGATTAGGAATTATAATTACAGCAACCTGTAGCTTACAGACAGAAATCCATGACATTTTTCAAGAAGTATAATCAATTTGAATTCATTTCTTAACGGCTCCTTTCACTTACCTTCCTTCTAAGATCTCACATGAGCCTACATCGTCAGGAGACATACGAGAACAGCCCAACATATGAGAACTCTTTATATAAAGGCCCTCACACAAAAGGAAAAACAATTTTCATCTTGGGCATGAGTCCTGCTTCTTTCCTAAGACGTGGTAGGTAATTTCCATATCTAGGGTGGATTGTGAGCTCTCCCAACACCTCTGCAATCTCAGTTCTAAGGATATTGCTTTTCTTGTGAACAACCCTAAAACTGTATTACCTACGATTTTCTCAGGTCCTTAAAATAGAGGGAACCCTGCCTGCCTAAATTTCATGGTTCAAATCCCCAAATTTAAAAAGAAGTAACCTCCCTCAGGCTGCTTTTTTTTCTAGTCATCACTTCTGTGACTTCACTGCTCTGTAGCTGCATGGAGTTGGGGTCCTGAGGAACCATATGAGCTAACAGTGACTGTTTGCCTCATTCTTAAAATACAATTTTCCAGTTGAGACACTCTATCAAAGACACTATACAATTATCATAGCCAGGGCTCAAAAAGGTCAGAAAACAGTACACTGCTAATTCATTTTCCTGCCCTTATTAGTGCAGCTTTCTGTAAGAAGAGTGCGGGATATGAGTAACTATTTCCAACTTCAGAAAGTGCTACGATATTGCCCCCAAGCCACAGTGGGGAAAAGTAGAAATTACAGAAACAATACAGTAAGGCCAGTTGGTCAGTAGATCAAGAGCAAAGCTCACAACAGAACTTCTAGTCCTTGGGCAGTCCCATGCTAACGCTATTCATTAAGCATTCTTAGTAATAGATCTGCCCTGCTTCTAATCTACTACCTCAGTGAAACACCAGTAAACAAAGCAAGCCTGAAGGCTATTACATAAACACATTTAAGTTTAATAGAAATAATCTCCCCTGACAATTCAGTTCCCTTTCTGAATGCTTTCCTCACTGGATACAAAGGGAAGAGACAACCAAAAGTCATTTAACACATGGCAGATGAAATCCTGAGCAATCAGTATTAAGTCAACAGCAAAAGAATCAATTTGCTGAATAGTTATCTCCTGAAAGAACTCTAGAACGATTATCAAACCAAAAATTGGATATTCCCCCCCGCCAGACAGAATATAGATGAACCCTTATCTCAGCTGAAGCAAGATGAATAGGAGACTGCAAATATTGCTTATTTCCTCACTTCAACACTTACCTTCTGGGTTATACCCTCCACCATGGTAAAACTACCACCTAACTTAGTGCTGTTGCTGTCACAGACACTTCACACATGTTCTGTCTTCCCCTACTAAATCCTCCAGCAAATCCTTCCACTGATTCTCACAGACATTGAGTCAGGCTCAAATTATGCTTCCATTAACCACTGTATGTCTTCTCATCTCCAAGTCAGCAATCCTTGAAAAGTCATTCTTCCTGCCAGCCAAATGGGCTCTAAATTCACTGTGGTTTATAAGTATTATCCCCGTCTCCATGTGTGCTTCATGCAATCTGCAGTACCAAGCTTTCTTGACCTTTTTCCACACTTTGGTATTAAACTATCTCAACTCCATTTGTACATTAACAGATCTCATGAAATCTAGAAAGGGCAGAGTCAGAACAACCAGAACTGTTATAAGATCACCACTCTAAAGCGTGAAAACCCTGTTAGATTTAGATGAGTAAGAAAACAGCTACTTACTGGTTTCGGCATTTTTCTTGTTTTCTTTAGTCTCTTGTCCACTTAAGTCTTCAGCAAGCTCTTTGTCCCCTTCTGTCAAAAACAAAAGGGTTGTTTTTAAATTAATCAAAACAGAGTTCATGTACATCAAATAGTACAAATTCCAAAGCTGATAAACAAGTGCTCTACATGTACAAAATACACTTTTCAGTAGATGACATAAATAAAAAGCAAGTTAGCCAGTACCATAATCTACCTGTCTCTAAGTAGTAACCTTTCTAGTTTTTGTAGAAGTTTAATCCACTAATGTTAGAATAAAGAGACAACAGTTCCCCGAGTAATACAAATTCTTTTTAAAACTTTTGCAGACACCATCTAGGATTAAAAACCTTTAATGTTATTTACGAGGAAGTAGAATTTGCACAAGGAACTCCAAAGCTGCAATTCAATCCGTCAACTCTAGTCAAACTTGAAACATCATGAAACAAAGAAAAAAACCTAACAATTTTAAAGCATCAAAACTGCATTTCATGTCTATAAAAGCACTCTCTTCTCTCAGTGAAGGAATGATACAGTCATTTTCCCAGAAGAAATGTGAGTACACCATCACAGTAAAAAAGGAAGAAAATCTGCTCTGCTTAAAATAGAGCACCTTTTTTTAAAGAGGAAAGACTGTAAGTTATGTCTACATGGTAATGAAAGTATTCACTATTGTGTTCTGTGCCAAAAAGGTTTTACACCTTGAAAAAAAATATGCTTGCAATGTTATTGGTTGATAGCATCCTGACTCCTTTTCAGTTTGTTCTAACTCAGGATGAACAAACAGCTGGTCAGCTTCTTGCACACCTTTAAAGTAATGACTTCCACAAATCAGTCCTGCTGCTGGTCTGCAGAGAGTACCAAAGATGGCACTGTCTTCAGAAATAATATTAACTGGAATTACATTTATAATAGAAAAAATGAAAGTGACTACTCAGAATAATCCAAGATTCTGGTATTATAACTCCATGACTGCATCAGATGAGTAAAATTTTTAGAAGAGCTTAAAAAAAAAAAAAATATATATATATATAAGGAGAAAAACAAAACATGTAATTAACTTATCAAAAGCAAACTTTTGTATAAATTATTTCTCAAAGGAAAATGCAAATATAAAGTATTGTTACATATATTTACAGAAGTAGTTCTTTTTCCTTGCTTCTCGGCAATAAAAAAATACATTAAATGTTAAAACATTTGCACAGCAACCTGAGGAGCACTAGCATTTCATTTTTTCTTTTTCTAATAGAGATATGTTTGAAAAGAGGGTCTGGGGAAAAAATAAAAAAAAAAGAGATAAAGATGAAAACAATTTAAGAAGCATTAATGTTTTTGGTACATAAAGAAAAACAAATGTTAAGACTAAAGATTACAGAAAGAGAGGTCTAATGGTGTAATGCAGATATGGAGTAAATTTTGTTGAATGAAAAAACAGCCTGAAAAAATTAAAACAGTATCTTTAAATTATATTATTATATAATTAATGTAGCACAACTATAAAGCTATAATACATTGCCTACCATAAAGACAATTATCTTCCAGTAATTTTTTTTTTTAATTACAGAAGATGTTCTAAAGTATTAGACAGTATCATTAAGACTACTGTTCTAAGTTCTTGTTTGATATATTCTTGAAAAATATGAATACACTTTTCTGCAACTTCCTTTCTCCCCCCCCCCCCCCTTTTTTATTGACCATAAAAGCTTTCAGGGGAAAAATAAAAAGTATGTTTTTTCGAGCGCTTACAAAACTGGCTTTTGATAAAATTCAACAGCACATTTCCAGTTCACAGAAGAGACTGACCTCTCTACTCCACCCTTTCCCTAATGTACACCTCAGAAAAATTGAAAGGAGTAGTAAAAATAAGCTTGGCTCTAATATCTGCTAACAGTAAGCAGGATTTTGAGCTGTAGTAGTCCCTGTGTTCACCTTTTTGACAGTAGAGGCTCATTGGTTGCAAAACTGAAGGCAGATTGAAACCCTAGAGTTAAACTCAGTTAATTAACGATGCAAAAGTTAAATTACATTCTGATCCACCATTTTATAAGTGTGCCAACTCAACAATACTAAAAGGAACAGCAAGTAGCACAATTATTTTGATATGCCTATAGTTATATTAGCATTGAAAATAAGGGGTATGGTAGGATGACTGATAAGTGAGTCCAGTCTCCAGGAGACAAATGAGAGCATATGGCACAAGGCCAAGTACTATGTTATCAACTGATTACTTTCTGAGGTCTTTCTAAGAGAGACCACATCTATCACTTTCTAAAATGACTCATACCATCATACATCATTATATCATTGCAAATTTTTCAATAAGTATGCCCCATATTCTTGCTTTGGGTTTTACCCAAACATTTTGTTAAACTTCTATCAAAGAACCCTTAATTACTTATTTGAAAACATATTTTAAAACCTTAAGGTAATTATTAAAATCAGAAACATGGCTAGAAAGTTTTATAGGATAATTCTATGTCATCAAATAACAACTGGTAGGCATGTAATTTAAATGAGTTTACAGAACTAACATTCACTGTTCACATGTGATAAAATGAAGCCATCAGCGAGAAGCAAGAATTCTCTTGTGCAAAACTCAGTAAAAATGAAGTCTGTCAGCCCCCCCAGGTCTCATGGGCCTGATAAATTATCACAGTATATGAGCAACAGAAAAAAAAAAAAAAAATCTATAGCTCAGGTATTTTTTGTTGAACTGTTTGCTGCAATATCTTTTTCTAGAGTAAAAAAATCTATCATGCCTTTAAAAAAAATAAAGAAATGTAATAAATTTAAACTATGCTGACTTGTACCACATTACAAGAAAAAAAATAAAATCACTCAACTGATAGGGTGTATAACTTAAACCATTGTTTCGGTTGTATATATAATGCAAAAAACAGCCTTTTTCTAAATATTTTCATACTAAAAACATTATGCAAATTCAAAATAGTATATTCACACAAAAGCTTTGCAACTAAGTATTATATGTATATAAAAATCAAGTTCACAAATCTTAAAACTGTGCAAAAATTGAAATCAAATAAGCACTGAATAGAAAAATAACACCCTATCTTCTCCAATTATTGGCACCAGCTAACATTAAAAACAAAACAAATATAAGGAAAATATTTGGCCAAAAGAAACCAAAAAATCACTGCCAGACAAAATATTGTGCATCTCCACTATTATTACTGGAGTTCATTTCTGTTACTTAGGCGTTTCCAATAAATTTATATTTAGTGGATGCAATCATAGCAGTTTTACTAAATTTTTATCTTTGAAACAATTAATTACTTACTTTTATCTTAACACTCATATGAAATGGCATTGCAAATAGAGGGGAAAAAAAAGAAAACAACACCAAAAAACCCCAGCCAACTGGGATTGGGAAGGATATCCCTGTCACTTCCTGCATTCTGAAACCAGCTTGTGACCTACTAGACATAAAGGCTCATCACTTCGGCATTTCAGTTCCCAAAGGTGCCTCTTCCAAGTCAGGATTAGCAGGGTTATGACTTTGCAAAGCTCCTACTGCTACGACACTCCAGCCCTCAAAACCTTCACAGCATATGCAGTAATCTGGACTCTGGACCAAACCACCAAAATACCATCAGGCTCCACACCACAAACAAACAAAAAAATCAGCCAGAACTTCAAAAATGCTCTTGAAATGAAGAACTGCAATTTCAAGTCATTTCAATACCAGGCAGTTTGGATTTTTAAATCAGTATCATCCATGTTTCCAGTTGTGCCACAGAAGCCAACAAATAAAGCAATTGTTGAAAGATGACAAAGAAAGCTTTCTTCAGAAAATGATGGTGCATAAAATGCTTGATGCCAAAATTCTGTCAAATAATTTATGCAGCAGCTGTTTTCAAAAGCAACATTCATAGACACAGCCACGGGGCTGAGGTCAGGTGAGGATGGGATTGGAGGCAGAAGGCTTAAGCAGGACGCCTGGCTGGCAGAGAACCAACCCTCAAAAGTGGGATCCCCATCTGACAACTTCGGACCATCTCTCAGAAGCAGGCTCTTCAGCAGCGTGCCTCCTGAGCTCTAGCAAGAGGTTCATCATCTGTTTTCCTACATACAAATGGCAGGGACCACAGAGCTTTAGCCACAGCAGTGTAGCTCACTTACAGGAATTCATTTAAAATTAATACACTTTTTCTTTTCAAAGTCTTACACCATCCCGTTTTTTGTGATACCTAAAACTTTTAGATCTTTGGGGAGGCAGCAAAATGCAACTTACAGGCCACTGTACCTGACTAACTGGTCTCGGCTTTCTACAAAAACGCCTCTCTATTCCAGAGCAGCCTGTGAATGCCTGCAGGGCAATCATCTTTTAGACTAACAGCTCCCTAATGACACACTTGCTGCAGTCCAATAAACAAGTGCATTCACCACAGACTTTACTTCTACCTACATCTTTTTCGGACAGGACAGAGAGGTCATCTACACAACTGTCTGCAATGTAAGCAAACCAAGGGGGGAAACCAAACCAAGACATCTATCTCACCAAAAAAAAAAAAAAAAAAAAAAAAAAAAAAAAAAAAAAGAGAGCTGAATTCTATAACTAGTATGAAATAATTGAGATTTCACCACTGGTAGATATCACACACAGAGCTTTACATACCGATTTTTTTTTTTTTTGAGTACTCTATCTTTACCTTCTCAAAACCACCATTTCCCCCAATCTTCCCTTCCCTGAAACACTTGAGATAGGCTTGTTGTGGCTCTGAAAAATAATTGCAATATAACCCATACAACTGTTATACATTAAATTTATTCATAGGTAATTATATTTGAAGAGTGAAGTGTTTCTTCTAAACTGGAGATCCTGAGAACTTCAGAAGTACAAATGAAAATTTGGCAGTTGCCAACACAGTAGTTAAACAAAAAACAACACAGACCAGCCAAAGAATATTTGTGCAATCCTTGCAGTTTTACCAGTTAATAAACTGGTATGCTATAGATGCGCTATACAATTTACATATAGTTAATATTTATTAAGTTTAGTAACCTTAGCTCCAATTTTTAGCTTCAAAGTACCCACAACTGCACTATTTGAAGTAACTCTTAAGATTTTGAAGAGTCCTACAATGACAGGATGGCCAGTCTTCCTACATACATCTGATATACAAGCAAAAATGGAGATTAAGAAGTGTGACTGATGCAGGTACTTTGTTGTTTCAAAGTGAAACAAACCTTTTCTAAAAATACAGTTAGCAAAGAATTATGAACTAACCAAAAATCTGGGTATATCCCATTTCAAAACCAGGTATTATGTTTTCTGAATGATGCTGTTAAGTCTCTTAGAACTAGTTCCATAAAATAAAGGAAACATGAACTGGCCACTCACATCTGTCTCCATATACACTAGCTACAGTTCTTAAAAATCAAAATGTTCTAGTGTAAAGATTATTAACTCCCTTTCTGAGCCAATGTAATATTTGTTTTTCCTTGTACTACATGACTTGAAGGTTTCATTTCACAGAGTGACAAATAAATGTCTAAAGCAGAAAGGAAAAAAAGTGTTTAAATTCAAAGCACAGCTAAGAATTAGCCTACTGGTAAAGTTAGTCCACAGATGCAGCCCTTCAATTTTGAAAGGAAAGAGTTTACCTAGGCCCCTTCAGCTCTGGAGTAAACTTGCTGAGCATGCAAGATACAATGAGTGCTGCTTTAATGGATCAGTATCTTTCAACAATCAGGACTTTCTTCAGAAGTTTGTATAACGCTTTGTTTACATTTACAGACTTGAAAATCCTCCCTTTCCTCTACTCCCACAGACTCCTAATGCTATACAAAGTGATAGGACCGCTTTGATGTATTTAACACATCCCATACAAAGAAGCAATACCTTAAATGACTTCCATCTTTACCTCTGCCAACAGAAGTACCCCTTCTCAAAAAGCCAAGCAAGATTGATGAAGAAGGCCGTATATCTATTTTGGCAATGTCTAACTTAACTTTCTTTACCAAGAACTGCCTTTTAATATAATAACCTCTCCACTTCTTACCCCCCTAATTTTGCATCTTGTAGATGGATCCATATTCTCACTCTCTTTATGGCTTTAATTTTCTGTGAACCAACTTTTTTCTGGCAGTTCCATTATCATCAAGCCCTGCAATGCTCTCTACTGCAATGGCAGAAATAGTCTGACCAGAACACTTTGTCATCTCTACAAACACTTTTACACCATTTCTTTCGGTCAGCACTCAAGAAAAACTCTCTGGACAGCTCCTGACATGTCATACCATGTCATTTTCGGTGTTTCCTAAAGCTGTTTGTTGTACTTTTACTCTCTAGTCTCCCAACCTGATAGAAGAATGAGCTGTGTCAGTTGAGCACAAAGCTTGGAAATATGCCACTGCCTTGCAAGTGTCATTTGCTGGGAGCCTGCTTATCTGGGAACATTGCACTGACTTGTAGTTTATTTTTCTCACAGCCCCTCTTATGCTACATCAATAGATCAATAGAGGTAAGGCCTATAACGCGACAGACAGTTACTACTTGTCTCTTATCTTTAACGATCAAAAAACCACCTCATCACCATAGCTATAACGTTACTGTATACCAACTCCATGTCTTCCCTCGCAACACATATTGCCCAGCAGCATTGTGCCAACACACTATATAAGAGCTGACAGCAAGAATGGTATTTCTACAGTCTTCTGAATACACGAAGTGCTGTGCAGGCAGATGCATCCTCAAAATATTTCTGTGACATAAAACATGATGACAAGCATCTCCGATGAAAACAAAACAGAGTAAGATGCAGGGACACGTCTAAGGCCTGACACAAAGCAGTCACAGAGACAGAATTAATTAAAACTCAGAACTGCAACTCCCATAACTCAATTTAAAAAAAAAGAATCTTTTTAAAAGCCTACACCAGAAAGAGGAACATGAAATACTTGTCTAGGGTGTTACACAGACTGGAATAGACAGCTTAATAGCACCTTACAACTGACGTGATTAGTTGTGTTGGCATAGAATCCAAAGAGCTATTTTTTCTTATATTCGAATTAAGAAAATGGACAAAAGAGAAGTAAATTCCACAAAGTTGAAACTAAAACCCCTTATCTGCGCTCGACTTTAAGCGGCAAGGTTAATTACAAATGCCCACGACTTGTACAAAACATTAATCCATTCAAAAAAAAAACAATGCACAAAGGCTCATTCAGAGCCACTATGCCCATTACGTCGGCCGGTACTTAAGGACTCTGAAAATGTGCATTTGTTGAAAACAATAGACAGCAACAGATGCTTCACAGCACTTGTTTATGAAGTAATTCCTTATTATTCTTCCACACCGCCACAGTCAGCTGGCCGACCCGACTGCCACATGTCTACAGTAACCTCGAGAGCCGCGACGCTCGGGGACATGAATAATGCAGAGGGGGCTGCGCGGCACGGGCGCGCCGACTGCGCGCTCCCGGGGCTTCCCCAACAAAGCGCCCGCCCGCCCGCCCGCCGCCCCCTCCCAGCCGCCGGGGTCGGCGCCCCGGGCTCCCCCTCACAGCCGCCGCCGGCGGGGAGCGCCGCGCCCCGCGCCCCAGCCCGCAATAAGTCGCCCCCCCCCCCCCCCCCCCCCAAACCCCGCTCCGCGCCCCGAAGGGCTGCGGGCGGCCTCCCCCCCACACCTCCCGCCGCCCCCGCGCTGCTCTCCGGGCAGCTCCCCCACCCACCCACCCACCCACCCGCTGCCGGCCGCTTCCCGGCGCTCCCGCCTCACCTGGGGCTCCGCTCCCCGGCCAGCGGGGCGTGCGCTCCGCGGCGTCGGGCGGAGGGGAGGGGAGGGACGGGACGAGACCCCGGGGCAGGGGGGCTGGGCGCGGCGCTCTCCGCTCCTCCTGGGGCAGGGCGGTGTCCGTCCCGCCCCCCCCGGCCGCGCAGCTCCCCGCCGGCAGCGGGGCAGGAGGCGCTGCGGGGCCGCCCCGGGCTGCTCGCCGCGCCGCCGGGGACGAGGCGCCAAGCGCGGCCGCCGCTGACAGCTCCGCAATATGGCGGCGGCCGCCACCGTTCAGATTTTCCCCCCCTATCAGATGTTGCTCGCTGCGGCCGCACTGGGCATGCGCGGCGCGGCCCGGCATGCGCGCCAGGCGGCGCGAAGCCGCTGCCCGGCGGGGGCGGAGGGGCGCGGGGGCCGGCGGCTGCGCGAGCCGTCCGCGGCTGTGGAGGAGGCGGCGGTGCTGCGGCCCGGGGAGGGGAGGGGGTGGCGAGGGCGGGCGAGGGACCGGGGCTCCCGGGGGGGAACAGCCAGGGTGAGAGACGGAGCTCCCGTGAGGGGACGGCGGCGAACACACCCACCGTGCGAGGCGGGCGGCCCCGAGGCACGCCAGAGCCCGCGCGGCGCTGCAGCCCCCGCTGCGCGCTCGGGCTGAGCCGGTGCTCGAAGAGGCGAGAGCCCCGCAGAAATTACCCGAGCCGAGCTCTGCCCGCGCGTGTCTGCTTGTAATAGTTGCTCAGCGGTAAAGCTGTCCCCGAAAAACTCTTTTGCTCGCGTAAAGGAGGGGAAGAGGAAAGGCTCTTCTGTTACCGCAACCGGGAAAAGAAAGTGTCGGGAAAACCAGAGACGGGGGAGTTGGCAGCGTGGGTGTTTTCCAGTCAAAGCCCCGCGAGGAAATAACGTGCCCTCCTTTTTGGCTGGGGAGAAAAGGGCAGGCGTGTGTTTCAGGGGCCCCGTGGGTGTGGGCGCGGGGGCAGGCCGGGTGTTGGGGCAGATAGGGTGGCGCGGAGCTGGCGGGAGCGGGGCTCGGGCTGCGGGGAGCCGGGGGCTGGGGGGGCTCTTGAGGAAAGAGAAGCCATGAGGGAGATGGCACGGAATGCCGCTTGAGTGGAGGGTGCCGACCCTGTTACCTTCTTCCATCTCATCCCAGTGACGGGACCCTCGCTCTTTTCATCTTTTCACCTCCCTCTTTTCATCACTCAGGTGGAGGAGAGAGTCACATGGGGGGCGTGGGATCACATTTTTTCATACGCATTTTTTTTATACACAGTCCCAGTGGGGACGGAGAAGAAAAGAGCAGTGAGGAGAATCCTTCTGAAGGACAGAGAGGTTGAAGCAGTCCCAGCCCCCTCCGTGCTTTCGTTGTTTATTTTTGTTTGCATGAAAGTGAAGGTGCTCCCTGAGCTCGGTGGCAACGTAGCCAGGGAGGCCAAACAGCAAAGCTCAGTGCAAAGGGATCCACTTGAGCTACCAACTCTGAGTCATGCAGCTGCTATTAATACACCTCGCCCTCTGGCTGTTTGATAAAGAAAGAAAGGTTGGGGGAAGAACTAAGAGGAATTTTCAATCAAAGCTGCTTCAAAAAGAAGAACATTTTAAGATGAATTGGAGGTTGGGAGAAGGGGAAGAAGAGGAGAGCAGCCTGGCAAACGACAAGGAAAAATCTCCCAGAGACTACGTGGGAGCTTCTCTGTTTATATATATATATATTTTTTTAATTTGTTTGGACGAAATTTAAAGAACATTCCAATAAACTAGATGACTACATAATACAAACTATGATGAAATTGAATTATATAAGATTGAGTTTAATTGCTTCTTCTAGAGGCATTTAATGAGTTTAATCGGTGATGATTTTGTGCATTTGTGTATTTCAAACAGGCATTTCTCTCACAGTCATCATCACAGAACTTGAACATCTCAGTCTATTAAAGGCATGTTCAATTTCCTCCCATGGGCCAGAATTTCAATTCCAGCTTTGTTTATGTCGTTTTGCTCCAAGGAAGATGTGACTGGCTAATTCCTCATTCTTTCTGTTCTTCATCATGGAGAACATCCTGTCTTGAAACAGAGTATTTTGCAGTTCATTAAACTTCTGAAGTGTCTTTCAGCCTCTGCAGATAGGCAGTTCCACTGACCAGCTGCCATTAATAGGCACTGTAGGTTACTCTTCCCTGTTCAGATGGCTTCTTCCAGCAGGTCAGAGTAAGATCCAAGGGAAATGAAAAAAACATATAAAAAAACACAGAAAACCAAACCCTGTTTCATTCAGTCAACTAAAGAAATTGTCTATGATTCAGTGCAGTGCACAGATAAAATGTGTTTACTTTAGTTGACTGAATTAAAGGCTCGCTTTACTTCCAAAATAGTCCATTGTGAACTGGCTCAAATGTAGGATTATTGCACTAGGGCACGGTTTCTTTACTAGTGTTGATAGCATGTGGAAGAAAGTTCCTTTCAATTTGTGCATTATCACCATAGGATATGTTTTATCAATTATCCTGTTACATGAAGAATATTATTGCTCAAAAATGGCAAGGTAAATAATAGTCTTATCTTCCTTGTCAACAGTATAATATGGTTTTCTTCTCACCTTGCTTCCTTAACAAGGTGTAAAATTGCAGTTTGTCTGATAAAACAGGGCAGTAAAAACAAAAGTGTAGTTAGAGATCGTATTCTTTTCAGCTGTGAAATTGAAACTACAGAAAGAACTACAGGCAATAAAGAGAGCTTTCAGATACCCATATCAACTTAACTTACACAGTTCTTTAAGAGGTAGGTAATAAAGATAATGATAAGAATGCCATAACTGCAAGATATAAAAGTTTGTCTTCCAGTAGTAATGCCAAAATACAGCTCTTCATTAAAAAACAGATTTTAAACTTTCGTTGCCCTGTTTGAGGAATCAAACCCAGAATCGCTTTTGAAAGTAAAGATTTATGGACCAGTGCTTCTCTTCTTTTTCAGTGCACCTGCAAAGGCATAAAGCTTTAGTCAGTGAAGACTCAGTTGTGTGTTAGAGTCTACTTTTACTAAAGCTAAATGTATAATCCCAATGGGTGTTTACTGGACAAGGCATTTTGGAAATGAGAACTAAGAAAAAAAAAATCACCTTGATGAATTGCTGAATTTTTTGGCAGCTTAAGTGGTATGCAACACACCTTTACTTTATCCCCTAATTCAATTAAGGTTTATGCCATCAGCTAGGATAGAACTGTAGTTCTGCCCATACCATGCCCCTAACATGAAAAGTTACACGTGGACTTAGCCTACAAGCCTGGAAGCTAGCCACTCGGTCTGGGAATATTTATGCATATGACTCAACACACACATACTCATCTATTAATATGTTTACAGAAGCAGACCTTACATAGTCTAAAATTATTGCAGGGTAATTTTACTATTACTAATTATATGGTCTAAAACCAATTTGTTTATTCTTTTGTTAGTATCTGAATAACAATAATAGGATGTGTTACCTTAATGGACATTAATCATATTTATTTTTCCAACAAGTACGTTAGATTGCCTTTTAAAGTCTTTGCTAGAAACAAACGGAATTGAAGGAATTTTGTGGTCATTAGATGAATCCAATTCACAGATATTTAAAATATTTGGTGAAATTAAAATAAATGTCTGAAGTAATAATTTTTATGTCTGTTGTTAAATTTGTCTGTCATTTAAAATTAAATTTATCTAATTCCAAAAAGTATTTTTCATGCATTATTAAAATACCAGATTTCAATGAAAATATAAGAGTTCCAGTAGCAACACTGAGCATTCCAAGTTGCCTTTATTGTGTGCTTATATATAGTCTCAGCTTTGATCAAGTTAAAAGGCAAAATATGGTATGACTCCGGAGGGATTTGTCCTTTTCCTTTCTGAAATACCATCGCTGTGTGAAGTTCACTTAGGTGTCCTTCAGTGCCATGATCCTGCAACTGGCAGCACCTCCAGGAGGCTCAGCTCCAGGGAAGATGTCGGGGAGCCCAGGTCCAGGACTCTCCAGCTGGATGTCCCCCTGCATGCGTGTGGTGGTGAGGGAGGACAGACCTCGGGTGCAGAAAGTTACAGGGAAGGAGGATTCTCCCTCCTCTTCAGGGACATGCAGGAAACAGAAAGAATAAACCAGCACCCAAAAGCCTGATCTGAAAAACAGCAGTCAGGATAATCTACTATTGAACTGCTGTGTTGGCAGCTGGCTTGGTGTCAGGCTGTTCTACCTTTTGTTTTAATAACCTAGCTGAAAAAGCTTAGCCTCTAACATTGACACTGAAACTTGGCTGGCCAGCAGAGACCTTCACCACTGGAAATCTGTAAGGTTGGTTGCAAAAGTTTTGTCCTGCGGCCCCATGAATTTCTGCCGGTGAAAGGCTTAAGGAGAACATTGCTCCCCTCGATGACTGTGCCCACCAGAAGCAGACATGTTACGCTGGCCGAGGGCCTGGGTGAGTGAGAAGCCCAAAGGCTTTACCACTGACCATCTCTCACACACCGTGACCTCTTCCAGTGACACATCTCCGCTTTTCTCTTAGGTATTTAGTCTCTGGTACTACAGCAGATACCACAGTGGTGTCAGCCTATCTCAGGGCCAAATTTTAATACCTTTTCTGCTCAAGATGGAAGTAGTAAAATCACTTGGAGAGGAGTGTGTTTAACAGTGTCAAATATGGGTCTTAGCAACTCATTCTAAATGAAACAGTACTCGCCTCTCTGTGGTAATGAATTGCTAATTTAATTTTTGTACACAAAGTATGTATAACACAGTCCTTATGTTCCATCTATTTTTTCAACCACCATTATGATTTTATGATTTGTTTTTGTAACTGTTGGTAATTGCAGAAGAGACAAGTTAACAAATTAAGCTGCTTTGCAATTAAGGTTGGGGCAGGCTGTCTGATTTCCTGTACCCGAGATGGGACATATTATCTTGTGTCACTGCTATTCTGTCATGTCACCCAAACATGTCTTTGCTGATGCATGTCATCTGGCAGCTGACACTAAGCTGCAGTTCCTGCTTCTGGCCACTTAATGTTTTTATCTCATTCATAGTTATAATTATTATGACAAGTGCAAGTTGTTCTGCAGTGACAGCATTGTTTTTTAAGTGACAGCGTTTGTTTTAGTTATAATGTGGCTGTAGCAGGGTCACGTTCATGGCATTGTAAATCAAAGTCATTGATAATCGTGGAGGTACTCACTTCAGCGAAATAATGTTAAGTATTTATACTGAAATAAAATAGGTTGTAAGGTATTAGGCAGAGTTAAAGGCACCAATCCAGACAACAACTTTCTTGATGAAACTATTTCTGTAGGAAAAAAGAAAGGA